TTTCCCCCCCCCCCCCCCCCGCATACCCGTACACAAAATCTAAATCAAAACTACCCCCCTCCCTTCCCTTCAAGGGCAAACGTAACATAATTCTAAATGGCCCCCAGCCAATCGTATTTCTCGAACCATTCACCACAGGACGTAGAAATTAGAAAGGAATTAAAGCTAACAACCGAAAATGTACTTATGAAAATTTTTATTTCATCGGAGAAACTACCTGAATGGAGATATTTTCAACCTGGTTTCTTTAAATCGTATTTCTGATAGGTCTTGGTGTACATTCGTAAAAGACATCTCAAAATCGTACATAGTACGCCAAAAACTTAACAGTTAACAGGTCTGCTAACCATTGTTTAATAAACAGCTATGGTTACCAGCAACAGTAAGAAAGCTGTGCCCACAGTCTCACTGATCCCAATGAACAATTGCCGTTACATCATACCATCAACATGAACAGTACAGGAAATGATTCAATTCATACAACGTGCTTTGTCTTTTCTGTTCTTGTAAGAAGGCACAGAACTCTAGCCTCATAAAAAAAATGGGATTACAATGTTATTTAAAATAAAATTTTGGTTTAAAAAATGTAAAACTATATGCAGCAGTTTACTGGCGGTGATCATGTTTGTAATGTTAAAATGGAATTGTCTTCAATGGCAATTTTCCTTCGTTAGTGCATAATGAATCAATCAACAGGCACGTACAAATAATGTGGATTTTAAGGACATTTTTAACAAATAATCTGAAGGAATCTTCATAGCATGAATTGAGCAACACTCAGTGGTACTAAGGGAAGGTGTTGAAATAATCACAACACACAGTGGCACTAAGGGAAAGTGTTGAAATAATCACAACACACAGTGGCACTAAGGGAAGGTGTTGAAATAATCACAACACTCGGTGGTACTAAGGGAAAGTGTTGAAATAATCACAACACCTAGTGATACTAAAGGAAAGTATTGAAATAATCACAACACTCAATGGCACTAAGGGAATGTGTTGACATAATCACAACACCCTTTGGTACTAAGGGAAAGTATTGACATAATCACAACACTCACTAGTACTAAGGGAACGTGTTGAAATAATCGTAATAGTGATACATTTAATATAAAAATATAAACTATGTTTTTCTTAATCTAAATAAAACATTGATGAATGATTACAATTGGAAGCTCCATAAATTAAAGCCAATGTATATATAGCCAATGTGATAAGAAAATATTAATTGCAGGATAAAGAACTATTTAATAAGCAGACACAGCACATTTACGCAAATTATTTGGGTGTTAAAGTCTGAAGTGATTCTAAAACTACAAAATCAGAGAGGAAAATGAAATAAAACTGAAAGTCTGCCAAAACATTCACCATCTTCCAGCAGAAATATGTAAGATGATATGAAAGCTGTGTTGGTCACAACATGTTGCGATCAGGTGACATGAAGTCTATCCAAAAGGATATTAAAATAAATACAACAATTGTAGATTGTCAGCAGAATGTTGGCTACCTCAACAAATATTACCTTTGCATTGATGGCAAAAATAAAGAGAATATGAAGTACATTGCACTAAACATTTTAAAAAATAACAATGCCTTGTCCTGCACGTATGAACAAACGCAATATTTTCAGCTTCACTTAAATGATATGAGCAAGGCTTATGCATACTTTATTAAGTTACAAAATTAAGGTATAAATCATAAATTACTATATTAATGCATATTTCAATGAGTTACTTGAAAATGTACTATAATAATAATACTTTATCAACAGAGAGTTAACCAGTATAAAGCCATAAGTATTAATCTATATGTAACATGCTGCTTTAGTTTCATTATTATAAGAAATTACTGAGCTTTCTATACCTTCCACTCAGTGAATGAATTTTATCTATATCGTTTCACAGAACAAGCCAATAGACAGAAAAGAAAATATTTGTAACAAGGTGTAAAGTATTAACCTTCTATATTAATTAGAATGAAAAGTGGGAAATAACTTTCTACACGCTCTCTGCTTTTTGTTGGTTTTTTTTGTGTTAAATGTGATCTTGTTAAACCCAAGTTATGCCACCATATTTTTTTCCCAGCAGATATGAAATTTCCCACACAAATTTACACCATTGGTAAAGAAAGAATACACTCAATTTCAATAGAACAAAACCAGTTTTAGACTAAGCTGTACACTAAATATTAGAGCTATGAAACATTCCATAAACCAGAAATATAGTTGCCAAGAAGAAATCATTAAATATATTTTAAAATTTAAATATGTATATATATATATATATATATATATATATATATATATATATATATATATATATATA